AGACTGCTCCTCCCATCGCCTGGCAATACCACCAGCCGAGTGGTTTGGGTGTCTGGGGGTTTCGCTTCTTCAAGAACAAGGTTAATTTGGTTTATATTTATATAATGTTAGGATCTATAACATGGAATGAGCGGGGCTCACACACCTGTAATCCCAGCTACTCCGGAGGCTGAAGTGGGAGGATCGCTTGAACCCAGGAGTTAGAGGTTGCAGTGAGCTATGATCAAGCCACTGCACTCCATCCAGCCTGGGTGACATGGTGAGACCCTATCTCTGAAAATATAGTGATAAAATATGAAATCAAGAAAAAAGAAAGGAACTTAAAAAATGTATAGCGTCTTTCCATTTGAACTGCATTTCAGGGATGATTAAGATTGAGCCAGGTGAATGTGGGAAATAACATTCCTGAATGAAGGACACAAGGACAAGAAAAGAATAATGCTGTGGTTCAAGGACAAGGTAGAGGAGTACTCTGAAGCCATAGCACTCATTTTAAGGATTTTGTCATTCATATTGAGGACTGTGGGAACTATCAATCAATGTAAAGCTAGGGAGAAGCATCATCAGGCATACGCTTTGGAAAGCCCACTTAGGCAACAGAAGGGGTAGGGCCAGAGGGAAGGCAGGGAGACGAGGAGGCTACTGTTATCCTGGAAAGAGATGATCCTGATTCAGCTAAGGCAGCAGGAGTGGTCATGGAGAGGGTGGAAGACAGTTGGGAGCTGTAGAGAAGCATTTCAACTCAGAGAGAGAGGTTTCTGGTTTGGGCCACTGGGAGTCCAGTCCTGAGTGAGGAGAGATGATCAGTTCATTTCAGGATTGGTTGATTTTGAACTGACTGTGGAATATTAAGGTGGAAATATCCAAGGGACAGCTTGATAAATCCTTCTGGAAACCAGCAGAGCTTTTGCATTAGGAAGCCATAGGTACATAAGTGGTAACTAAAGCCGAAGAGTAGAACAGTGGTTTCTGGGGCAATTCCACATCCCCCTTCCCAGCAAAGAAACATTTGGCAATATCTAGAGACATTTTTGATGGTCACAATGTAGATGGGGAGGAGGTTACCGCTGACATTTTGTGGGTAGAGACCAAGGATGCTACTAAACTTCCTACAATGCACAGTACAGTCACCTCGCCCGACTCAAATGAAGAGAAAATTATCTGGCCCCAAATGTCAAAAGTGTTGGGGGTGAGAAAACCTGCAGTTCAGGGGAGCGTTGAGTGTGAGAAGAAGGATTAGGATGGAGCCCCAGAGAGCTCCAGACATTTAAAGGATGGGCAGACAACAGGCACTTGAGGAGACCAAAAGGAATCACCAGAGAGAAGCCACTGAATAAGGCAACTTCCTGAGCCTTGTTAAATAAATGTAAGGCATGGAAAGAATGGACTGAATGCTGAAGTAGGGTGTTCTAGAATCACAGCCTCCCTGGAGGTCATGAAGAGGAGGGACAGTTGACAGGTTCTCCTGATGCATTCTTCCCTGCTGCCCCCTCTCTGTAGAACCACTAGAGACACTACCAATGGGCCGAATGGGGCAGGCACAGAGCTTTAGGAAGAAGGGGTCTTCATTTCCTCTTAAAAGGCATGCCTCTTGCTGTGCAGAAGCTCTTTAGTTTAATTAGATCCCATTTGTCAATTTTGGCTTTTGTTGCCATTGCTTTTGGTGTTTTAGACATGAAGTCCTTGCCCATGCCTATGTCCTGAATGGTATTACCTAGGTTTTCTTCTAGGGTTTTTATGGTATTAGGTCTAACATTTAAGTCTCTAATCCATCTTGAATTAATTTTTGTATAAGGAGTAAGGAAAGGATCCAGTTTCAGCTTTCTACTTATGGCTAGCCAGTTTTCCCAGCACCATTTATTAAATAGGGAATCCTTTCCCCATTTCTTGTTTTTCTCAGGTTTGTCAAAGATCAGATGGCTGTAGATGTGTGGTATTAAGAAACTACCATCAGAGTGAACAGGCAACCTACAGAATGGGAGAAAATTTTTGCAATGTACTCATGTGACAAAGGGCTAATATCCAGAACCTACAAAGAACTCAAACAAATTTACAAGAAAAAAACAAACAACCCCATCAAAAAGTGGGCAAAGGGTATGAACAGACATTTCTCAAAAGAAGACATTCATACAGCCAACAGACACATGAAAAAATGCTCATCATCACTTGCCATCAGAGAAATGCAAATCAAAACCACAATGAGATACCATCTCACACCAGTTAGAATGGTAATCATTAAAAAGTCAGGGAACAGCAGGTGCTGGAGAGGATGTGGAGAAATAGGAACACTTTTACACTGCTGGTGAGATTGTAAACTACTTCAACCATTATGGAAAACAGTATGGCGATTCCTCAAGGATCTAGAACTAGAAGTACCATATGACCCAGCCATCCCATTTCTGGGTATATACCCAAAGGATTATAAGTCATGCTGCTATAAAGACACATGCACACTTATGTTTATTGTGGCACTATTCACAATAGCAAAGACTTGGAATCAACCCAAATGTCCATCAGTGACAGACTGGATTAAGAAAATGTGGCACATATACACCATGGAATACTATGCAGCCATTAAAAAGGATGAGTTTGTGTCCTTTGTAGGGATATGGATACAGCTGGAAACCATCATTCTTAGCAAACTATCGCAAGAACAGAAAACCAAACACCGCATGTTCTCACTCGTAGGTGGGAACTGAACAATGAGATCACTTGGACTCAGGAAGGGGAACATCACACACCGGGGCCTATCATGGGGAGCGGAGAGGGGGGAAGGATTGCACTGGGAGTTATACCTGATGTAAATGACGAGTTGATGGGTGCTGACGAGTTGATGATTGCAGCACAGCAACATGGCACAAGTATACATATGTAACAAACCTGCACGTTATGCACATGTACCCTAGAACTTAAAGTATTAAAAAAAAAAAAAAAAAAAAAGGCATGCCTCAGAGAACATCAGGGAAGCCCACGAGACTTTGTGACTTGGTACTTACATAATTAAACAGATGCAGCAGGCTCAAACTGGCTGCAGAAATTTGAGCCCTCTCCAAGTTTTCCCTGCTCAGACTCATAGGAAAAGTGTGGGGTAGTTCAGCTCTTTCTCTTGCTCGCCTGGTAGGAACCACAGCTGAAAATCTTTTTCGCTCAGTGAAGAGTTTAGGCTCATTGGAGTTTACTGCTAGAAATGGCTTGAGATGTCATCTCGGCTTTCCTCCTAATGTGATATTTTACTAGCCTGGCTTGGCATCTTTGGAGGTTGAGACCTGTTCCACAGGAAGTGGATTACCTTTCTAGAGTGGCTTGTCAGTGTAAGAACACTGTGGGCTTCCCCTAAATAAGAACCACTCTTTGGATGAATCCTGAAATGTATTTGTCTCATTTATCCTTTTCACTTACTATGTTTAATTCATGTTCCCTAATAAACAAGATAATGCATTTAAAGTTCTTAGCTCCATGTCTTGACCATTGTAAATTCCCAGTAGATGTCACTTGCGCTTGTTGTTTCCTCGGCTGTTTTAATCCTTAGTCTTCAGTTTTAATCCTCAGTCAAAACTAAACTAATTGTGTAGGTTTAAGCTTTGGAGAGAAAAATTGTGCCTTAAATTTAAGTTAAACTATGTTTTTAAAGATTAACATTCAGAGAACATGTTTCCATATTGCTGATGCCCTAAAAAATAGCATATACCAGAAGTCTTACCACCTGAAGATTGACATACATCAATCTTATATAAATAAAGCCTCCCTTTTCTGTGGATAGCTGAGCCAGCAATTGAACTTACTACCTCTTCCTAATGCAAATAAGATAAAAGAGAAAGCAAAGCATACATATTTGCATCCCATAGTACACAGCTTCTTAGCTTCTTACTCAACTCAAGCAACAGTCTCTGAGCACATCAAAAATCAAGATTTTAGGCTGCTGAGGTGGAAATCCTTTGGCATGAAGGATCAGAGATGGGGAGACCTTTCAGATTGTGGTGTCTAATGTTTTCTCCTGGGTTCCACTAATGCTGGAGAGGGGAACAGGGAGTTAGAAGGAAGAGGGAATGTTGGAAGACATTTCCCAAGCTGGAAGATGCTAGCACACCTTCCCCCAGTTCTATTAAGTTCCTGGAGCAGAAACAAACCAAGTGTTATACTGGAAAAATTTCGGCCCAAACTGTCTACTAGCAACAACAGCAACAACAACAAACCACACTCCACACAACTAAGGGCGGAGTGGGGTAATTTATACAATGTGTCCCTCCTATTCCGACATCCACTGCACTCTCCCCTGTCTCGCAGGACAGTGTCCCAACTGTCCTTAGCGCTCCTCATGCCGCCTACCGGAGAAAGCAAATATATTTCAGAATTAGAGGGCAGCAGAAGCTCCTATTTCCCCCCAACTTTATACTTGGAAAAACTCTAAGGCAGAGGGAGCAAAGTTCAGTTTTCACGCCAAAGAGTGTCTTTCTCTCTCTTGAAATTCTCTCCCGCACCCTCTTGTATCCGGTGTCGAAAACAACTGCCAGAGGTTCTTTTTCTTGGTCCGAAGAAAAACGACTGGCCAGACTAAAAAGGAGGGACTTCAGGGGGAAAGCAGGCTTCCAGCCCTGGGCTGTGGCCCAGAGGGGATGATGTCACCGCTTCTGCACCGAGGGGCCTGGGGGTGGGGCGGCCAAAGGGGAGCCCGCGCCGCGCCTGCAGCTGCCAAGGGAGCATTCCGAGCCCACGTCAGGGGAGGTGTCCGGATAAATAGGGTCCCGCAATGGCCGTGGCTGGCTGCGCTCCGAGCTGCGGAGTCCGGGACTGGAGCTGCCCGGGCGGGTTCGCGCTCCGAAGGCTGAGAACTGGCGCTGCTCGTGCCCTGTGTGCCAGACGGCCGAGATCCGCGCTCGGACCCGGCCGAGATCCCACTTTGCTACCGACTGGAGTTTGGGGGAAGAAACTCTCCTGCGCCCCAGAGGATTTCCTCCTCAGCGAAGGGACAGCTAAAGACGAAGGTGGCAGGAAGAGAAGGGCGCTTTCTGTCTGCCAGGGTCGCAGCGCGGGAGGGCAGTGCCATGTTCCTTTCCATCCTGGTGGCGCTGTGCCTGTGGCTGCACCTGGCGCTGGGCGTGCGCGGCGCGCCCTGCGAGGCGGTGCGCATCCCTATGTGCCGGCACATGCCCTGGAACATCACGCGGATGCCCAACCACCTGCACCACAGCACACAGGAGAACGCCATCCTGGCCATCGAGCAGTACGAGGAGCTGGTGGACGTGAACTGCAGCTCCGTGCTGCGCTTCTTCCTCTGTGCCATGTACGCGCCCATCTGCACCCTGGAGTTCCTGCACGACCCCATCAAGCCGTGCAAGTCGGTGTGCCAACGCGCGCGCGACGACTGCGAGCCCCTCATGAAGATGTACAACCACAGCTGGCCCGAAAGCCTGGCCTGCGATGAGCTGCCCGTCTATGACCGTGGTGTGTGCATCTCGCCTGAAGCCATCGTTACGGACCTCCCGGAGGGTGAGACCGGAGGAAGGATGGGGGGAGGCGAGGAGGCACCCGGGGCTGTGGCTGCCACTTGAGAACTAGGCGGCCACACTTAAGGCTGCTGGGGGCTTCTGAGGCTTGTAGGAGGTGGGAAGAAATGGGGGAAACATTTTCTTCAGAAAAAGTCTGGTTTCCCCCGTAGGAATTTTAGAAGCTAGCGAAGGGCGCTGTACTCCTTAAGGAAAAAAAAAAAAAATTGCTTACAAAGGGAGCCTTCGACGATGTTTGCATTTACAGTAGTAACAGAAATGATAATAGCAGTAAACAGGTGTTGCTAGGTGTCTGAGCAAGTGTTAAACACATTACACGTTATTCACTCATTTAATGCCCAAAATAGTCTCACCAGGCAGGTGTCAATACTTGTTCCATTTAGTGCTACTTCTTAAAAAGTTTTTTTCTGAAAAAGCAGTAATGGTCATTGCTTCCCACCAGGAGTGAGATTTGTAATTGCAGTTTCCCTGGAAAATTGTGAGGTCTGTTTCATGGTCATTGACCCCGAGCCAACTACTGTGGCATTTTAGTTAACCCCATCCCTACTTCCACTTCCTTCTTTTTTCTTTGGTCATTTGACTGTTTTTCTAGGAAGAAGGAGAAGTTTAAATTCACTTCTTGAAATGAAACCTAGGAATATTTTTGCATTATTTTATCCAGGCTTTCTCTGACCCAGGTTACCCCACATTTAAAGACACTATGATATTGCTGTGCTGGAATCTCTGAACTTATTCCCAGAGCATTGCCCTAAACATGGAGGAGGAGTGGTTAAGTGAATGGGGTAAATGGAAACTCCTCTCTAGTTTAGAGTTTTAGGGGAAAAAACCACATATTTATTGTTTAAATTATATAAATAATAGAGGATTATGCTTGGTTTTGGTTATATACCTGTGAACTGTTTCTGCATTGCAAGATATGAGGTGGGGATTTGGAAATATTTTGGTTACTTTGATTAATATAAACTGTTAACTTGGAATATCGACATTTCAATATGACTTTGGGAGAGAGTGATATGATTTATCCAGTTGGGTTGTATATACCAGTGTATACCAGCGAGGTTAAATGGATATACATTCACATCAATTTGTGCTTGGATAGGCGAATATTCCCCCAGAGGATCTCTTTTCTAAGCCCTAGATATCATTATGAAAGGAGAAGTCAACAGTCACATGCCGTTTTTGCTATATAAATACATATTTTTTTTTAGATGGATCCTCACTGTGTTACCCAGGCTGGAGTGCAATGGCACAATCTCAGCTCACTGCAACCTTCGCCTCCCGGGTTCAAGTGATTCTCCTACCTCAGCCTCCCGAGTAGCCAGGATTACAGGTGTCCACCACCATGCCTGGCAAATGTTTGTATTTTTAGTAGAGACAGGGTTTTGCCATATTGGCCAGACTGGTCTCAAACTCCTGACCTCAGGTGATCCACCCATCTCAGCCTCCCAAAGTGCTGGGATTACAGGCGTGAGCCACCTCACCCGGCTCATTTTTACCATTAAGTACTATTCTTTTGTGATACTGTGTTAGTTTATATCTTCAGAGGGCTCCTTATACTAGCTGGGTGAATAGACAAAATCACCAACCATGCCCATGTGGCCCTGTTTGTGTTTCAGATGTTAAGTGGATAGACATCACACCAGACATGATGGTACAGGAAAGGCCTCTTGATGTTGACTGTAAACGCCTAAGCCCTGGTGAGTTCTTTCTTCTTGGATGTTCCCTCTACTTCTCCTCTCCAGAGTGATTTCTGTACTCTTTCCAACTTTCTGCCTCTTTTGCCTTTTTTAGATCGGTGCAAGTGTAAAAAGGTGAAGCCAACTTTGGCAACATATCTCAGCAAAAACTACAGCTATGGTAAGTCATCTGTTAAAGCCATTTACTTTTGAGACTCGGTTCATTACAAAGCTGGAATCTCAATACGGTTGCTGTCATTAAAGCTAGTCACAAAGTAAAGAAAACAAAAGGTTGACTGCTTTTCTAGTCGATTATGTGAATTCTATTAATATATGGCACAATAACAACTGCAAAATGTCTTGCTTTTCTGGATAAATCAAGTGCAAACAAAAGGAATGACCCAGGTGATAATAATTACATGCATCAGATTAAAAGTTTGACATCTTGATCCTCCTTGTCTTGGTAAGAAGTGCTGATCAGCCAGGATGGCACACCCCAACTGTTCTCTTCCTGAGGTTTTACTGCTGCAGGAAGAATGGGAAAGTGATCCATGGATCTGATTATCTGTGAGTCGGAGAATTAAGGCCCATAGGCCCAGAGAATTAAGATCTGCCTGCATATCCTTTTACTTGTGAATAGCTACAAATATTTAACGTCTTAAAGAAATTGTAAAAAAAAATATTACTCACAAAATCCTATGGTTACGCTATTGAAATAGTTTAAATGCCCTCCTCTCTCTTACTTGAAAGAACCACTCAGCATTTTCTTCCAAGAATAAGTCAATCATGAAATTTGAAATGTTTTAAGTAATTTTAATTTCACTATTGTCATCTGAAAGTAATTTTAATTAACATATGTTCTTTTTCAATTCAAAAAGAAATGTAAAAGGCAGACATTTTAAAAGCGTCTGTTTGGGCTGGCTACCTTATATTTCATTGCATGTCTTAAATTATTTCTGCTGAAATAACATAAAGTGGTTTTAGGGAAAATGCTTATTTTGTTTGCTGACTTAGTTTTCATCTTGCAAATTGAAATTTTATATCAGTAAGAAACTTTAGGATATATATCAGACGTAAAAGTCGGAGGATCACAGAAACATAAAAATCTGAAAAAAATAAGCTCTTACAAAGCTATCAGATTTAAGGATGATATTTAGCCAATGTGGGTAATTCAGCAACAACAAAAAGTAGTTTATCTTTTCCTGTAGCTTTTTTTCTTAAAGCCTGCTCTATGTAGATACCATCCTAATCTGATTTACTTAGTCCCTCCTCTGCCAAGATCCGGCCTGAGATACTAATCTGTTGTTCTCTTGGGTGTTATGGCCTTGGAACGACCTTGATGAAGAAACCATTTTGTATTCAAGTCCTTTGGTGTCTTCATAAACTGGCTGCCTGAAATGGAATCCAAGACAGAGCCATATTAGGCTGATTACAACTCTATGGGAGGCAGTAATAACAAGAGACCACAGAAACCAGCATTTAAAACTTGGTCAGAGACAGTGACATTAACAGCCATCTGTAATAACAGTTCTATCTCTGCTCACCATGGGTCTACTTTGTCAGTCTGTGAAATTAAAAGTAGTCCTCAGAGACTCCCTCCACTTCAAAAATGTTATGACTAATAACTATCTCTGTAAAACAGAAGAAGCTGAAGCATCAGATGAGTGATGGAAGAAATGCAAACCTTAAGATGACTTCTGATGTGAAATATATGATCCTCACTTTGAATCACCACAGGGGAGAATACAAATACTGTGAATTTTTTACTGAGCTAAAGGCAGAGAAAGACTAAAACTTGCCTTTCCATTTGCTTTCCCATCTCACAGTATGCCCCAGAACATTTAAGACAATGTTGACAATATAGGACACCATCCATTTAGCATATGACTGTGTGGGCTTTTTGCCTGCACTCAGGCCGCTTGGACATAACCATAATTACAGGAGTGATTCTTTAAGAGAGGCTCAGAGGTTGGCATGAAGACACCATCCCTAGTTTTTCCCCAAAACCTTCAACAACACTTCTATCTATTTTTAAATTGCAGTTATTCATGCCAAAATAAAAGCTGTGCAGAGGAGTGGCTGTAATGAGGTCACAACGGTGGTGGATGTAAAAGAGATCTTCAAGTCCTCATCACCCATCCCTCGAACTCAAGTCCCGCTCATTACGAATTCTTCTTGCCAGTGTCCACACATCCTGCCCCATCAAGATGTTCTCATTATGTGTTACGAGTGGCGCTCAAGGTAGGCACAAAGAGGCAGAAGGAACTGTCTGCACACTGTTAGAAAAACCTCAATCTCAGTTAGCAGTCATGGTTTAAAAACATAACAAAAATATGCCAATGGCTTTTTAAAAAAAAAATTAGTTAAACAGATGCCTCTGTTTGAATAGCATGTATTCTAACTGTCAATTAATTCTTCACAGGATGAAGGAAAAATCAAAATATGAGTATTTGAATAGAGTCTTTAAAAATCCATTTCAAAATTCATTAAGTGATTTCAAAATTTATAGGCAAGTCAATTATTTTAAGGAAGAACAATTCTTTTCAAATCATTCAAACAATTTTAGAGTCACAAATACTAAATTCTTAAGGCCACTTTAATAGCTTACAGATCAAGTAAGTAGGCATCTGAGACTATAGTTCCGCATGTTTCCATATAAACACTTTACAATATTTGATAGAGTATTGCACACACACACACGCACACTTTAAGATGACTTCTGAATCGAATATGTGATTCTCAATTCAAACATCACAAGGCAAAGTATAAACAAATATGTATATGCTTCACACACACTCATACACACAAATTCTAGCTGGGTATATTTGTCTTCCTGGCCTCTCTTTCCTTCTTCTTATTTATTTATTTATATTTTTGGATATTGGTACATTACTTATAATATAAAGTCAAACTCTTGAGCCCAGCCTCCATGTTGGGCCCTGTAAGTTGATTGCAGTATACTCCTCCAGCAAAATCACTCAGTTTTACGTAACAAGTCATCCCCCCCATTCTCTGCTGTTAATGCTCATCTGTTTCTTCTATATAGATATAAACTAAGACTATTCCTCCGAAAAGAAACCAAAAACATTTTTGAGAACTAACTTCACTTTTCTGTATTCTGTCAGTACTTGGGTGCCCTCCTTGCAACATGGATATCACCGTGTGTTCTTGGTTTTAAAGCCAGACTCTGCTTGTATCTTGTCTCCCTAAAGAAGCAATCAGTGACTCTGGACTCATCTCTACCAAGGCGTTTGCATCTGCTGCAGTGCTAGAGATGTGGTTGGGGATACCAGGTTGCTAGTCATTACATTCTATCTGGAGAGGGGAATGGATTATAATCCATTCCAGTAAAAATATTTTTGGATAATTGGGATGTATGTCCTCACAAATGATTCTAATAAATTGGTAAGGGTATGTAAAGACGATTGTGAAAATAAGAGAGGAAATCTGCTTTATGAGACCTGCAAAACTGGTGTAAAGTTACACTTGTTAAAACCATGTGATGCAATAGTAGATGTAAAGATAAATAAAACGGAGGAAAAACTCTTGAAGCAGGTTTTGATGCACTTTATATTGTACTATACAATAACTTTCAAATGGATTAAATAGACAAATATTGTAAGAACTTAAAAAACAGGATAAAATTAGGTGAGTAAATATATCTGAAAAGCAAAGTAATTTGTAAACGTAAAAGTAATGTAAGAAATTACAAGGAAAAATATCAATACACATATTTGACCACATAATATTATACACATAAAAATCACAAATAATGATAGAAAAGCAAATAAAAATTGATAAACATAATTGAAAAAGATATGAAAAGATAGTAGTCTTATTAAAGAGTTCATAAAATTAATATTTAAACATTGAGACCACGATGTGGAAATATATGTACATAAATTTATATAGAGAAGTTCAAATAGTAACACAAATATAATACAAATAGTAAGTAAACATTTAAAAAATTATCTCCTTGATTCTAAATCCAAATAAAAACAAGATTCCATTTTCACCTAATGCTTAATGTTAATGAATTGGATGAAAGTGCAACCATTTTGAAAACAACTTGGCACTATGCATTGAAAATCTTTTAAAAGAATACATACCCTTTGACTCAGTTATTCTATTTTAAAAATCTTTCCTAAGAAAATAATAAGCCAGTGCACACTACTGTATACAGGGTTATTCAATGCAATACTGGTAATCATAGCTAAGCAAAAGGGAATTCAGCAACAAAGAAATGGCTGGATATATTATGGATATCCATATTCATAACATTATATTATTAACATTAGATTTTTAAATTATTCTAATTACATCAGAAAATTTAGATCATAAAATGACAAAAGGAAATTTGCAGATCATCTAAATACACAATGTGGTCTAGTAAGTGTAATAAATATTGTTACAAGGAGGAATGAAAGGAAACACCAATAAAATTAAATGGTGGATATGTGGATTATGGGGCAAAAGGTTATTGAATAATTTTTTTACAATTTCTGTAATTTTAGCTTTTTACTTTTGCAATAAAAATCTGCTTACTAAGATAATTTGTTTTCAGGATGATGCTTCTTGAAAATTGCTTAGTTGAAAAGTGGAGAGATCAGCTTAGTAAAAGATCCATAGTAAGTATCATGAACAACACTGTGAAGATGGATGTAAGTGCGTATAAAATATTTCTTTAGAATTGGGGAATTCTTCCCATTGTTTCATCTTCAAGCTCTCATAAGAGCCAGCAATAGCGACAGTGTTTGTCTTTTGAATAGGCCGTTAAGAGTGTAGCTATTCTCACTCAGAATTTTTACCAGGAATCTGTCATTCAACTTCAAAGGTTGTGAAGTTGTGTTTGATACTAATGTACTGGTTATTTCCAAGTTAAATGAGCCTTTTGTTTCTTTATTACATGTAGTTGTTTTATTGAACCATGAGATCCTTGAGCAGACTTAATATCCATTGAGACTAAATCTGACATATATTTGGAAGGGTGGAAATATCTGATAATAAAACTTACCCTATCACTATACATAGCAGAATCTTTTCCTATATTTATAATAACTTAAGACTTTTGTCAAAAATCATACACAAAAAGTAATTGTTTTACAGTCAAATCTAGGATTTTTGTGGTAACATCATAGAAATATTGGTAATTCAATTACAGGAGTTAAATAATTTTTTGCCCAGAAATGTGAAATTACAACCCAATCTAAAGACATCAGGTAATTGGTTTGAAATTTTTAAAGCTTCCCTTCTCTGCAAAATATGTCCATATTCATTAAGAAGAATTTGTGTTTACAGGTTCACAAAACATATTGCTACTGCCTGTGCTCTCTTAGTTTGCACCAATGAAAAGTCCCAGGCAAGAGGAAAGTATATATTAACAATTGATTTATGGAGAATGTAGTTAGAATACAGCCTCCCCTAGTCAGTGTACTTCTGAATAAGAGAACCAAACACTATTGTGTTAAATCAGAGCCAAAAACTCATGAGCTGCTCAGAAGCATGCTTAGTTCTATTAGACAGGAAATTCTAGCAGGATTGGTTATCTGGTTTCCCGGACTACAGTAGATTAGAAGCATCAATACAGAAGGCAAGCAGACCGTGAGAACCTGAGCTTGCTGAGAAGAAAGCTTTCAATAATCAGAGCTGTGGGACCATTCACTTTTGCAGCATATTTTCCAATAAACTTCAGTAGGAGTTTGAAAATATCACCACATGATAGCAACATACCATAATGAGTTTATTAGTTTAGAATAGATTAGAATTGTGTTGTAGCACAGCGGGGACAATGTTTTTCTTTTCATTGCATTCCTACTGCATAGAATAATACCCAACTGATGACTGTGGTCAAACTTCTGGCTGAATGAAGTAGACTCTAACCAAGCAGGGACATCTGTGTTAATATAAAGCAATGTCAATTCAACTGGACTCACTTTTTTATTATTCCTTACTTGAGTTATTTAAAGAATAAACTTTTTGCTATCAGAGAGACTTGATTTTTCAGAATGACTCATTTCCCAATGGTTCTGGATAGCTAGCATGTTAGAGGATGACTAGGTGTAGAAGGGGCCTCTGTCTTCCTTTGGATGTGGGAGAATTAAGTGAACAAACCCCTGACTTCCCAGTGACGTGGGGTAAACTAATGCTAGTAGCCATGAAATAAGAGCCTTTTTAGAAGGCTTTGCACTATAGGAATGTTGCATTATGGGGCTAGTGGTCAAAAGTGCATGGGTGAGGGCCTCTGGCTCTGGAGTCAGGGTGGGTGAATTTGAATCCTGGCTCTGACATTTACTAGCTCTGTGGCCTGCAAATAACCTCTTTGTGCTTGTTTCCTGCCCCTGTCAATGGTGCTTATTTGGAAGGACTGTTGTTTCAATGAAATGAATGCATGTGAAAACTTCATCACACACTGAGCACTTTCTGAGTCACCTGGTACCTGATAAGGGCTTGACATAGGGTAGCTATTACAATTGTTACCGTCATTAGTCTATTACAGTGAAAAACTTGCCTTAATTTTCATATTAGCTGAGCACCATAAAGGGGTGAGATAATTTGATAGTCATGTTTACAAATTGCCTTTCAGCAGTGGGAAGAGAGGCTGCGGGAACAGCGGAGAACAATTCAGGACAAGAAGAAAACAGCTGGGCGCACCAGTCGTAGTAATCCCCCCAAACCAAAGGGAAAGCCTCCTGCTCCCAAACCAGCCAGCCCCAAGAAGAACATTAAAACTAGGAGTGCCCAGAAGAAAACAAACCCGAAAAAAGTGTGAGCTAACTAGTTTCCAAAACGGAGACTTCCAACTTCCTTACAGGATGAGGCTGGGCATTGCCTGGGACAACCTATGCAAGGCCATGTGCCCCTTGCCCTAACAACTCACTGCAGTGCTCTTCATAGACACATCTTGCAGCATTTTTCTTAATGCTATGCTTCAGTTTTTCTTTGTAAGCCATCACAAGCCATAGTGGTAGGTTTGCCCTTTGGTACAGAAGGTGAGTTAAAGCTGGTGGAAAAGGCTTATTGCATTGCATTCAGAGTAACCTGTGTGCATACTCTAGGAGAGCAGGGAAAATAATGCTTGTTACAATGTGACCTAATATGTGCATTGTAAAATAAATGCCATATTTCAAACAAAACACGTAATTTTTTACAGTATGTTTTATTACCATTTGATATCTGTTGTTACAATGTTAGTGATGTTTTAAAATGAGATTGAAAATCTAATGCTTCTAAGAAGGAACAGTAGTGGAATGAATGTCTAAAAGATCTTTATGTGCTTATGGTCTGTAGAAGGATTTTTGTGATGAAAGGGGATTTTTTGAAAAATCTAGAGAAGTAGCATATGGAAAATTATAATGTGTCTTTTTTACAATGACTTTTCAGCTCTGTTTTTAGCTAGAAACTCTAAAAACAAAAATAATAATAAAGAAAAATAAATAAAAAAGAGAGGCAGACAATGTCTGGATTCCTGTTTTTTGGTTACCTGATTTCATGATCATGATGCTTCTTGTCAACACCCTCTTAAGCAGCACCAGAAACAGTGAGTTTGTCTGTACCACTGGGAGTTAGGTACTAATTAGTTGGCTAATGCTCAAGTATTTTATACCCACAACAAGAGAGGTATGTCACTCATCTCACTTCCCAGGACATCCACCCTGAGAGTAATTTGACAAGTATAAAAAAGGCCTTCATGTGAGTGCCAAAAATTTATTTTCTTCACTTAAATAATTTTTTTTGCCTAAATACATGTGAGAGGAGTTAAATATAAATATACACAGAGGAAAGTTGAGGTTCCATCTCTGAAATGAGAATTACTTGACAGTTGGGATACTTTAATCAGAAAAGAAGAACTTATCTTGCAGTATTTTATCAACAAATTTCATAATTGTGGACAATTGGAGGCATTTATTTAAAAAAACAATTTTATTGGCCTTTTGCTAACACAGTAAGCATGTATTCTCTATAAGGCATTCAATAAATGCACAACGCCCAAAGGAAATAAAATCCTACCTAATCCTGCTCTCCACTACACAGAGGTAATCACCATTAGTATTTTGGCATATTATTCTCCAGGTGTTTCTTATGCACTTATACAAAGATTTGAATAAATAAAACTAGGAGCCTGCTATACGTGTGTTTCATAACCTGCCTCCTTTGCTTGGCTCTTTATTGAGATAAGTTTTCATGTCAAGAAAGCAGATACCACCTCATTTCTAACAGCTGTGTTATATTCCATAGTATGCATTACTCAACAAACTGTTGTGCTATTGGATACTTAGGTGGTTTCTTCACTGACCATACTGAATAAACATCTCAATAGTCAAATGTCTGTGTGTATCCTTCATTAGTACCTTGGGATACGTTTGTTTAAATAGTATTTTGGGGCCTAGGAGTATGCTCAGCAATGAAAGTTCTTGATCTTGTCAATTATGCCCCAGAATGCTTGGAACATCGGTGGATGGAAATGCTCATTAAGTGTATGGTGTATGGAAACCCTCACTAAGATTGTTTCTCCTTCTCCATGTTTATCATAAATTTAAAGTTGTAACTGGTGGCCACCTTGGACAAACCTTCTCCCTTCATCTGTGAACCATCAGCTGACAACATTCTCAGCACTTCCTATACTCCTGGCCACTGGGAAATAGTGATTTGAGCCCCTCAAAGTATATAGATAAATGGATGGATGGATAGATGATTGATAGATAGACGGATAGAAAGATGGATGGATGGATGGATGGATAGATAGATGGATAGATAGATAGATAGATAGATTTCTTAACTGCCAGAAAAGCCTATGCAACCTCCTCTATTTTTTAACAATCTAACTTAATAATATAACTGGTTAACTATAGGAACTGAAGAATTACAGTATAGCAGAGCTGCTAATAGATGCTCTCTGTCTAGCCTCCTTTTAAGATACATGAGAACTTACATAAATAGCCTTAGTTCTTACTTTTCTGCTGTAAACCAATGCAGTCTGATCACACTTTTGGTTTCTCTCCTTGGATACCTATAAGATTGTGTATTGCATTCTTACAACAAAACCCTGGATACCTATAAGATTGTCTATCGCATTCTTTTTTTTTAACATTTATTTATTTTTTATTATTATTATACTTTAAGTTCTAGGGTACATGTGCATAATGTGCAGGTTTGTTACATACGTATACTTGTGCCATGTTGCTGTGCTGCACCCATCAACTCGTCAGCACCCATCAACTCGTCATTTACATCAGGTATAACTCCCAATGCAATCCCTCCCCGCTCCCCCCTCCCCATGATAGGCCCCGGTGTGTGATGTTCCCCTTCCCCAGTCCAAGTGATCTCATTGTTCAGTTCCCACCTATGAGTGAGAACATGTGGTGTTTGGTTTTCTGTTCTTGTGATAGTTTGCTAAGAATGATGGTTTCCAGCTGCATCCATGTCCCTACAAAGGACACAAACTCATCCTTTTTTATGGCTGCATAGTATTCCATGGTGTATATGTGCCACATTTTCTTAGTCCAGTCTGTCACTGATGGACATTTGGGTTGATTCCAAGTCTTTGCTATTGTGAATAGTGCCACAATAAACATACGTGTGCATGTGTCTTTATAGCAGCATGATTTATAATCCTTTGGGTATATACCTAGTAATGGGATGGCTGGGTCATATGGTACTTCTAGTTCTAGATCCTTGATGAATCACCATACTGTTTTCCATAATGGTTGAACTAGTTTACAATCCCACCAGCAGTGTAAAAGTGTTCCTATTTCTCCACATCCTCTCCAGCACCTGTTGTTTCCTGACTTTTTAATGATCGCCATTCTAACTGGTGTGAGATGGTATCTCATTGTGGTTTTGATTTGCATTTCTCTGATGGCCAGTGATGATGAGCATTTTTTCATGTGTCTGTTGGCTGTATGAATGTCTTCTTTTGAGAAACGTCTGTTCATATCCTTTGCCCACTTTTTGATGGGGTTGTTTGTTTTTTTCTTGTAAATTTGTTTGAGTTCTTTGTAGGTTCTGGATATTAGCCCTTTGTCAGATGAGTAGATTGCAAAAATTTTCTCCCATTCTGTAGGTTGCCTCTTCACTCTGATGGTAGTTTCTTTTGCTGTGCAGAAGCTCTTTAGTTTAATGAGATCCCATTTGTCAGTTTTGGTTTTTGCTGCCGTTGCTTTTGGTGTTTTAGACATGAAGTCTTTGCCCATGCCTATGTCCTGAATGGTACTACCTAGGTTTTCCTCTAGGGTTTTTGTGGTATTAGGTCTAACATTTAAGTCTCTAATCCATCTTGAATTAATTTTCGTATAAGGAGTAAGGAAAGGATCCAGTTTCAGCTTTCTACTTATGGCTAGCCAATTTTCCCAGCACCATTTATTAAATAGAGAATCCTTTCCCCATTTCTTGTTTCTCTCAGGTTTGTCAAAGATCAGATGGCTGTAGATGTGTGGTATTATTTCTGAGGACTCTGTTCTGTTCCATTGGTCTATATCTCTGTTTTGGTACCAGTACCATGCTGTTTTGGTTACTGTAGCCTTGTAGTATAGTTTGAAGTCAGGTAGCGTGATGCCTCCACCTTTGTTCTTTTGACTTAGGATTGTCTTGGAGATGCGGGCTCTTTTTTGGTTCCATATGAACTTTAAAGCAGTTTTTTCCAATTCTGTGAAGAAACTCATTGGTAGCTTGATGAGGATGGCATTGAATCTATAAATAACCTTGGGCAGTATGGCCATTTTCATGATATTGATTCTTCCTATCCATGAGCATGGTATGTTCTTCCATTTGTTTGTGTCTTCTTTTATTTCACTGAGCAGTGGTTTGTAGTTCTCCTTGAAGAGGTCCTTTACATCCCTTGTAAGTTGGATTCCTAGGTATTTTATTCTCTTTGAAGCAATTGTGAATGGAAGTTCATTCATGATTTGGCTCTCTGTTTGTCTGTTACTGGTGTATAAGAATGCCTGTGATTTTTGCACATTAATTTTGTATCCTGAGACTTTGCTGAAGTTGCTTATCAGCTTAAGGAGATTTTGGGCTGAGACAATGGGATTTTGAATTATACAATCATGTCATCTGCAAAGAGGGACAATTTGACTTCTTCTTTTCCTAACTGAATACCCTTGATTTCTTTCTCTTGCCTAATTGCCCTAGCCAGAACTTCCAACACTATGTTGAATAGGAGTGGTGAGAGAGGGCATCCCTGTCTTGTGCCAGTTTTCAAAGGGAATTTTTCCAGTTTTTGCCCATTCAGTATGATATTGACTGTGGGTTTGTCATAAATAGCTCTTATTATTTTGAGGTATGTTCCATCAATACCGAATTTATTGAGCGTTTTTAGCATGAAGGGCTGTTGAATTTTGTCAAAAGCCTCTTCTGCATCTATTGAGATAATCATGTGGTTCTTGTCTTTGGTTCTGTTTATATGCTGGATTATGTTTATTGATTTGCGAATGTTGAACCAGCCTTGCATCCCAGGGATGAAGCCCACTTGATCATGGTGGATAAGCTTTTTGATGTGCTGCTGAATCCGGTTTGCCAGTATTTTATTGAGGATTTTTGCATCGATGTTCATCAGGGATATTGGTCTAAAATTCTCTTTTTTTGTTGTGTCTCTGCCAGGCTTTGGTATCAGGATGATGTTGGCCTCATAAAATGAGTTAGGGAGGATTCCCTCTTTTTCTATTGATTGGAATAGTTTCAGAAGGAATGGTACCAGCTCCTCCTTGTACCTCTGGTAGAATTCAGCTGTGAATCCATCAGGTCCTGGACTTTTTTTGGTTGGTAGGCTCTTAATTATTGCCTCAATTTCAGAGCCTGCTATTGGTCTATTCAGGGATTCAATTTCTTCCTGGTTTAGTCTTGGAAGAGTATAAATGTCCAGGAAATTATCCATTTCTTCTAGATTTTCTAGTTTATTTGCATAGAGGTGTTTATAGTATTCTCTGATGGTAGTTTGTATTTCTGTGGAGTCGGTGGTGATATCCCCTTTATCATTTTTTATTGTGTCTTTGATTCTTCTCTCTTTTCTTCTTTATTAGTCTTGCTAGCAGTCTGTCAATTTTGTTGATCTTTTCAAAAAACCAACTCCTGGATTCATTGATTTTTTGGAGGGTTTTTTGTGTCTCTAGCTCCTTCAGTTCTGCTCTGATCTTAGTTATTTCTTGCCTTCTGCTAGCTTTTGAATGTGTTTGCTCTTGCTTCTCTAGTTCTTTTAATTGTGATGTTAGAGTGTCAATTTTAGATCTTTCCTGCTTTCCCTTGTGGGCATTTAGTGCTATAAATTTCCCTCTACACACTGCTTTAAATGTGTCCCAGAGATTCTGGTATGTTGTATCTTTGTTCTCATTGGTTTCAAAGAACATCTTTATTTCTGCCTTCATTTCGTTATGTACCCAGTAGTCATTCAGGAGCAGGTTGTTCAGTTTCCATGTAGTT